ATACAGATACAGATACAGATACAGATACAGATACAGATACAGATACAGATACAGATATACAGATACATAGATACACAGATACACAGATACACAGATACACAGACACAGATACAGAAACAGATACAGATACAGATACAGATACTACATACATAGTAGCTCACAAATTCAGATACTTTAGACAACATCAGATACAGTTTCATTCCAAGGCTCTAGCCACAGATACACCGAACAGCTGCCGAAACATTCTTTACCCAGAGCTACAATTACAGATACATTCTCTAGATACAGATGCATTGTATAGCTGCAGATAGATAGGAAGCCAGACAAAGGTGCAATCTTAAGTGAAAAACCCAATAGCTATAATTGCGTCGTTCGTGTTTAGATAATTTCTTTGGAATTGCCCGGCCGCAAAGGAGCAGCAGCTGCTGCTGTCGTTGCTGCTGCTGTTGCAATTTGAACTCACGCACAGGACGCGCGTCCTCGTGCCTCGACAAGGGGGCGCGTCTCGGGCATTGGTTATTCCAATGAAGTGAACGGCAAGCCAAAAGGCCGCGTAACTCGAGTATTCCACTTCACGCTTGCCTATAGATTCAATGAAAGGATTCTGGCACTTAGCTGGCCCAAAACACATGCGCAGCTCTAACACATGCCCTAACATGCAGGATCAAATTGAAATACCACCCGAATGATCCTTTTTCCATTCCATGTTCGTCGTTTCAATTCGTTTGGCTGTCAGTTTGAAAAGGAAGTCGACACCGCAAAGCGCGCATTCAAATGTTCTATGGAGGCCGTGGAGGCAAAAGGATTTCCTGTAATTACAGAACGTCGTCTAGGCAGCATAATTAGTCAACACACAAACGTATATATGTGTGTGTGTATATATTTCTAATGCATGTGGCACGTGATGGCCATCGAATTTGTTGCCTACTGAAATCGTTTATTAATATGTACATGAACAAGATATTACAATGAAGAATTTAATTGATAAATTGAAGTCTGTCAGCGTCGGAGGAACAGGAAAACTGAAGAGAGATTAATAGTTCGAAGTTCGAATAGCAGCTGAAAGAGAATTCGGGTACAGACCGTTGGTAGTGCAAACTAATGGATGTATCTATTGGCCCTGGTTGACATATAGCTGTAGTAGAGGAATCATTATACTTATACTATCTCAGTCTTAGTCCTTTATTATAGTTCCTAAAACTATCTTTCAACTTTTAAAATCCCATTAAATCAAAATCAAACAGAAGGTTTTATCTACATAATTTCTACAACTCCTGCTATTAAGATAACATTTCTTTAATATGTCCCTAATCCCTAAAGAACAAAACTCTAAAACCAATTGTCTGCAAATCTTAACTGCTCTAAAAATCGATTGTCCATGAGTACGATTTTGTATCTCAATCTGCTAGGGTTGTATTATTGTTGCCAATGCACAACTTTATTTTGTTGAACCAGCGATCCATGTGTTAATCGATTTAATGCTAAACAATGAGAGCTCTAGGCTCTGCGAGTGTATGAAAAAAATGTGCGCCGCTCTAGCACAATGGCACTAAAAATTTGTCCACTGCTGTCAGGTAAGCGTCTTATCAATAGAGCTAAGAGTAAATGCACTGCGACATAAAAATAAAATGGTAAATACATAAATAAAGTACAATATTATATAAATAATGAAAAAGAAATTTATTTAGAAATCAATAAATAATATTATAAATTATTAAATATACATAAATAATAAATACAGAATATAAAGAGATATTTATAAAATAAATAATTACAATAATAAATTCTTAAAAAATAAAACATTTAAATGTGTTATGTATTAAATGTATTAAACTTAATTCATTAATTCAATAAATTATTTATATAAAGAAAATATTATTATATTTTTCCTTAAGCAGATAAAAAGTATTTTATTTTTTTAGCTACGATTTTTTCTGAATAAATTTTTTCTTTGCACAACGTATTTTGAAAATTTTGCCAGTGTAACAGAGCGCGCTGCTCGCTGTCCCAGAGAGCGGAGAGCGGTTATCTGCAGTGCTGCCAACTTTTTACCAGAATAAAAAGCTGTTTTTAGATGGAAGAAA